CCTAGGTAGCTATGACGCACGATGGAAAATTTAAATACAAAATACATCGTGGCGCGCATTCAAGCTTTCATGCTGGTATTTATATGACACATTGTACATACAGGATCTGTTGCTCCGTTTCTTGCAGACAAGCTACTGCGTGTTGTATATATCAAAATGCCGAGATCAATTCAATCAAATATATATCGAGATAGCTCAGCCCACCCGTGGACGTATATATGAGTCGAAGTCTGATGATATCGCTAAGGTTGTAATTACAATTTCTGGGCATGGAATTGAGTTAGTGGTCAAAGCTAGTATACGCGGGAAGTGGACCCAAACGGCCCCATCAACCATGGTTGCGCAGAGCAAAACATGATTTAGCTTTCGACCCACGACGGCATAGTTTGGAAGGTGCGACCGTCAAGTGGAACTTGCATAGTGGATCGTAGGGTCCGCAGATGGTGGAGAGTCTAAGTCCTGGCCCCGAAGGAAGAAGTCAAAAATACGAGACAAAATCCACTGCATAGTGTACTCTCTTTAACTATACTAGGTAATTTCATTGCATATCATCCATGGATTATGCACGGTATATGTTAAACGGCTATTGAAGCGAGATCTGTTGCCGTGCCGAGGTGTATTTCCCGCTGGTACGTTCGCCCCGAGCCTTCGACCCACAATCTATAACATAATGGAGCACGTACTCACAGTTGATCGTCCCCGATTCGCCCTTTGTTGCTTGCGGAATCGCCTCTTTTGCAAAATACAGTGGGGCTAGCATGTCATTTACACATTTGGAGCGGGACGGCACCACCCGAGTCAATTGCCGGTCAATAGGGCTTACATACTAGGGACTCTTGCCGACATGACTATTGATGCTTGATTAAATATGTGACAAACTACGGAGCACTCCGTGTACATGGACATTGTACTCCGCAGACAATATGGGCTTAGAAAATAGCCATCACATTCGGAGGCGAGGATACTCCACCGGGCATGTTCAAAGGCACAGATGCCACGAAAAAGCTCCACCGCTGGAGTTCTTGGCAGGTGCGTGCCAGCGCCTCAAGGTCGAATAGTTCCCCTGTTGTTTATTAGTCAATATAAGGGATTTGCGGAACTTGGAGAAAAACACCGTGGTAACTTACCAATCGGCATCCCCCATCCAGCAAGCACATATTCATGGAGGAATATGTCAGGGGATTGTGGTGGGTAGACCTGTGGGCCTGTCAGTTGATTTCCTTGATCGACTTGACAAATGATGAGAATCTGTCGTTTATTTTTCTTATCACTCACCTCCCAACTGATTGCATCACTGGCGATGGCGGAGAATCCGGTGTCCCACAGCCAGCGGAGGACTTCTGTGGTCGCTTCGACTCCAGCATGCTCTGGACTGGGATTATCCGCATAGGCCTGTTTTTGGGCGTCTGTCATGGACGTATCCCACTCCTTGGTCACTCCTACGCGGACGAAAAGGATATCACCCTTTTTGAATGTGATATTGTTCTCCTTGGCAATTTCGAGGATGTCCGTAAACCGCACTTGGTGGGTCGAGAACGTGGTGTATTTGATCCCCTTTTTCTCGGCCCATGTAGCGTAGTCGATCAAGACTCCACGTCCTATTACAATTGTGTGAGATGATACCAAGGGATTTTTGTGAAAGGGATGAGTACCTGCAATGCCCTCTCGGGCCCAATGCTGGAGACCGATTCGATCGTTTTGGCGATCATTGATTTCTTCGCTGGTCGTTCCACCATAGAACACACGTTCGGATTTACCAGGAACTGTCTGAGAAAAATGGCGGAGGCCGTCCCATTGGCTACTTTGCTCTGCCGAAAGTCAATATATCGTAAAAAAGCAACAAAAGCAGGGAAAGCAGAATTCCTCTCAACTCACGTGGGTTCATAGTATAGATATCATCGAACGCCACACCCCCCAGAAGAGGCACAATTTCATGATGACAGGGCTGACGGTTGAGATTAGGATAATCCAGTTTCGTCATCTCCCATCCCATCGTCACGCGTCGACCACATCTGATCTCGCTGGCGGAAGCCGCGGCGACGACTTCAGGGGTAAGAATAGCTAGTTTTCCCAAACCCTCTTCATAGCTACCGGGCTTTCCTAGCCAAACCTGTTTCGGATTTGGGAGTTGGTCAAACGGGGTGTCAAAGGGAGACTGGGCCATTGTTCCGCTGTTCCGCTGTTCTATTGTCGTTTCCGTTGGTCGGAGTTGTAAAAAGTATATGTACTTTGTAGGTCCCGAGGATGCCGCGGTCTCGTTCTCAATCGAACCTTGTAACTAGCATACTGAGTACGGCGTACACCGCAGGGACCTTTTGTCGACGTGTGGGGATGCAATTTGTGGACTCAATAGCGTCGGACCGGATCTGCACTCTACTGACTCCGCAATCACATCCTTAGGGAGTACAACAACCAACATAATATAGCATGTTAGAACGAACTTTCAGCAAACGAGCATTAGTTTATAACACGTCGAAAATATTTCCAGAGTGCCTGGACTCAAACAAAGAAGTCCCGGTGAGATCGGCATACTAGTGGTATTCCCACGAACTTTATGCAGCCACATCTCCACAGAGTTAGTACCCCTTGTTATGTATCAGCTACTCCGTACTCCGTCCAAAGATGCTAAAATTTTTCCCACATTCAAATGGTATCCTTTGTTATATACCCTGAATATCATTGAGAGTTGTAAGAATTACAACAGACCATTATGGGTAGGTTCGGGTCTCAGACCAGTACCTATAACAGGCTGGTTATCGTTTTTGTCGCTATTGGGTCAATGGTGAGTTCGCACATATCTTTACATGGCGGTGATTTTACTGAATTTACACAAATAGACATATGGTTATTGCTCTTCAATTATCTCCAGTACAATCGGCCAGCCGGGATGGTACGCCTACTTCGACCTGCCCGTTGAGGGTGAACCGGGATACGCAACCATCACTACCCCTGCGATCTCGACAGCCAATGGTGTATTTAGTGCTGGCGGTGCTGTCGGTACACTTTTTATAATGTGGTCGTGTGATTTCTTCGGCCGAAAGGCGAACATCCAGTTCGGTGCCTTCTTTTCGCTATTCGGAGGAGCACTTCAGGCCGGCTCTAATTCACTAGCGTATGTCGCTTCTCCTACCTTCTCCCAATTTGACTGGCACTAACAACTCTCAGCATGTTCCAGGCTGGCCGCTTTATTTGCGGTCTTGGAATCGGTATCCTTGTAACCGTCTGCCCTATGTATCTTTCCGAGATGTCGTGTGCTCTGCGCCGTGGATGGCTGGTCGGCCACCACGCCATTTTCCTAGTCTTTGGATATATGCTTTCAGGATGGGTAGGATATGCCTGCTACTATGCAACCGGCTCTCTTTCTGAGTTTGGCTGGAGATTTCCTCTCGCCTTGCAATGCTTGCCTGCGTTGGTGCTGCTTCTGGGATCTCCCTGGCTCCCGCGCTCTCCTCGCTGGTTGATATCAAAGGGTAAATTTGATGAGGCGCAGCACGTTCTTGAGCGGCTCCGCGAATCGCCAGACGACCCGAACAACTTGGCTGCCAAGGAGGAGTTCTTCCAGACAAAAGAGCAAATCCAACTCGAGGCTGAGAGATTGGCTACTTATGGCAGCGTGTGGAAGGCTGTATTCACAAGGAAGACATACCGAAAGCGAATGGCTATCGGTTTTCTTACCCAGTGGGGCGCTGAATTTGGCGGACCTTTGATCATTGTGAGTGATGGTAATGCCTGCTTGAAAAGTATATCCCACTGACAACAGCTAGAACAACTACGCCGTTCTTCTGTATACAAACTTGGGCATGGAGGGCGGTATGCCTCTGCTCTTGAGTGCTGTCTGGCTGACAACAGCTGGTGAGGATAAACACCCAGGATCTACTATGTACCCCGTTTGCTAACCTAGCTCAGGTGTGATCTACAATCCTCTAGGTGCCTGGCTCCATGATAAAGTCAATTCCCGGCGTGGCATGTACATGATTGGCTTTGTCGGCATTATCATATCTACATCCTGTCTGGCTGCAATGACAGCCCAGTATGCTGGTACAACCAACAAGATCGGAAATGGATTCGGTATCTTCTTCATGTACCTTTATCTGGCCTTCCAGGGGTGAGTCAGGTTTCAACATATCGAAATTGCGATACATCGAGCTGACATTCCTGCAGTACTTTCTGCGACACCACCATGTACCTCTATGTTTCGGAAATCTTCCCAACTGAAATCCGTCCAATTGGCATGGGCTTTTCTCTCTTCGGTCAATTTGCTTGTAAGTTGTTCGTTGCAATTTCGCCTTCGAATTCCAACTGACATACCTAGCCACCCTTATCCTCCTGCAAACTGCCCCCATGGGATTCGGCAACGTTGGCTGGAAATACTATCTTGTCATTATTTGCTGGTCTGCATTCTTCATTCCAGGTATGTTTTTTTCTTCCCGATCAAGATCCACCCGTCAACTAAAACCCTACTAACATAAATTGTAGTCATCTATTTCTTCTTCCCTGAAACTGCTGGTCTCACTCTAGAGGAAATCGCCCAGAACTTCGGCGAGGAGGTTGCTGTTAATCTCACCGGCGCCACGGACGAGGAAAAAGCTCGGCTCGACCACCAGCTAGCCACGGGTGAGAACGCTCAACCACCTATAAGTTTAGAGCTAGAGAAAGAGACCAAGCTATCTTCAACAGGCGAGGCTGAGCAGAACGTGCCGAAAACAGAATAAACACATTGAGTATGTTTAGCTCCTGGGCAGAGAGTGGTCTGCCGACAATGAATAAGTTTCGGCTTAAAGATTCTAAGGCTAGGGCTATGGCTGGCTCATGTCTTATATAGAAACAGGAAAAATTACCCTGCTCCATAAGTGGTTGTTGACCGGGGATTTGGATTGGTTAGATTTTAGATTTCGTTATTATTAATTTCAGCTTATAAATCATCAGGAAGAGCCTCACTTATCTCGAGATCACAACTCTACAACTCTTATACTTACAATACTCGATTTTATCTTTGAACAATGGGCTCAAATTCGAAAGTGACTTTGTTTCCCTGGGATCCCAACTCAGACGTTCATGTGAAATGTCTTGTATCGCAGCGAGTCGAATGCAGTTGGGACCAGGAAAAAGTCGAGCCGAAATGGAAAAAGCAACAGCTCAAAGGCGAGAAGTGCATTTATTGGATCGTGAGTTTGATGAAATATTATTCCTTTGTTGTATTCAATGAACCGAGTCGAATATGCTTACATTTTGCGGAAAGGTCCTGCCGTCAGATGAGTCACAAGCCATATCGCCAAAAGTAAACCTTGAAAGACGACACTGCCAACTAAATAAAACAACTAACATGCGACTACCAGAAAGATGGAATGCTTCATGACACTGCCACGACAATCAATGCTGTCCAACGCCAGCCGACAAACGAAAGCTTCATCCCTATTGGCCATATCTCACTAGACTCCAAGAACCCCGATGCAGAGCACATTGAGTTTAACCTGCCAGCCGAGAACATCTTCTGGATAAAGACTTTCTATGTCAGGCAATCCATCCAGGGTCAGGGAATCGGGCGAGCTGCAATGGATGAGATCGAGGCTATGGCAGTTCGAGAGCCACTACTAGCCAAGATATTGATGCTAGACACGGTTCAGAAAGACGACCAGAAGAGAGAAGATTTTGCGAATGTGACATATGGTGGTGTTCCAAAGGCAAGTCTGATTGTACAATTTGAGGTCCTCGGTCAAGTAACTTACCGTCTGCAGACTACGAATGAGGAATGGTATGCTCGTCGAGGTTATCAATTGATCAAAACCGTGCAGAACTATTATCAGGTCCCGGATAAGAAGGGGAAGATTTGGGATATAAAGACAGTTTTTATGAGAAAGGATGTTGCGGGGGATTGTTGAAGGTACAATATGGTATATATCGTATCACATAGGGTTCTAGTGATTGATATAATTTCAGTTGTCTCTGATAGTACGGAAAATCCAAATAAAATATGTATAATAATAATAATCATAGATTAATAGATATTCCCAAGCTTTGCTGTCGAATTGTGTACAGTCTCATTTTCTCATACTTCGGATTTCCCCGATGTGGCACGCTAAGCCCAAATTGGAAGAGGCAAACTGACCGCGGGTATAATTTTCCCTTTCTTTTCTTAATCATATACCTCTATGCATTGGTTCTCGGGCCATGAGAAACGACGATCGGCGTTCTGCATCGCCTGCAACGCGCAAAAATGGCACTTTGCAGTCGTGTGAACCCTGTCGGAGATCCAAACAGCGATGTGACCATGACCGGCCAATCTGTCGCCGATGCACCGCAAAAAGAATCAGCGATAAATGTTTTTATCATCCAGCTCCAATGACTAGGCGAAGACCTTCCGATCCAGTCAATCCTGCGATAGTTTCTAGTCGACTGACTAGTCAACCAACCTCAAAGTAAGCATCTCCTGCAACGGATGATAAGCCCATACTAATATGTAAAAACAGTGCTTCCAGCCCGGGCTCAGGTTCACTGGGGAATGGGCGTTTCTTCGCGCCATTAGAACCACCCTCAGCTCTTCCTGGATATCTGGGCTCGACAAGCTACTCTGCGGTTCTGACTGAGCACCGCAGTGATATTTCGTTCGAGCCCGAAGAGAGCACAGATTCCTCTGCGGGGTTGGTAGTAGAACCCGATCGACTCCAATCCGGGGTTGATGTACTGCGGTTTTTGTACAATCTCACTGTGTGTGATATGCTGATTGCACGGTTCTATGTTCGGACACTAAACGTCGTCGTTCCCAAAATGGTAATGGACGAACTTCTGCGCTCGGTGCGCCAAATCTTCGATGGGTTCTCTAGTGATCCAACAGCACAACTGCAAGAGTTGGCGAATCAAATATTTCAAAATACCTCCCGACCGATGCAGACGCATAAGTCTATGTCACCCGAGGAGTATTGCTCCTCTTTCACCGGTCGCAATCTCCGGTGGGAGGCCCTTGGGTCTATCTTCACACTTTGCGGAATGCAATTGATCATTACGCCAGCCAACGACCCTGACATCACGCAGGGCTCGGATGATCCTCGAGCAAAAGACCGGTTACTAGAGCAGACCACTGTCATAAGTACAGTATGCCTTGGTTTCTGTGACCAGACATCGTCGGCAAACGAATTGCTAGCAATGTTGCAATATAATGATGCTATGTTGCGAACCCAACAATATGGTGATTCCAGTAAGAACTTCCCTTTCTTAATAATCTCGATCCCTATAGATTTATTGACCGCCTGTCAGGCTACCAAGCATGGTGTCGATTGGGTGACCTTGTATCCACGATTTATGCAGCTGGGCTACACTTGGAGACTAGTGGCAGTGAGAGTTGCCCATTCTTTCTTCGCCAGTGGCGGAGGCGCTGCTTTGTTGCCGCCTTCTACATGGACAAAATGATAGCATCATTTGTTGGACGACCGCCACTGTTGAACGGTCGATTCTGCACACTCGCTGCTCCGTTAGATCTGAGCGACGAGGTTCTGATTGCGGGTGGAGATGTCCTCAGCAAGGCTATCTCGGAGCTAGACAGTGCCGGATGGAATACTGAAGGGAAGTTACACCTAGTAACCCCAACTCGTCTACGCTTTCAGCTGGCTATCATTCGGGAAGAAACTCTTGAGGTTGTACTGGGAACTCGCGAGCAACACAATTTAATCCAGAAGTCCGAGTAAGTATATATTCTCGTCCAATGTAATGTTTCCTTGGTACTGACGTGATCTTCCTATAACAGAGAGATCCAAGCAAAATCGCGCGCCATATGGCAATCAACTCCGGATCAACTTCGATATGACCGTCGATCGAAGGAACATTTCTATGATGGGTGGCTTACCATTGTCTATTTCTATTTGGACTATCTAATGACTTGCTTTTTGCTCTATCGAGCAGTCGTCAAGCATACGAACACCGGACAGGCCGATCTTTGCGACGTATCTCGTCGGGTACTAGCCATTGTCATTCAGATTAATTCGTTCCGAACCCCAATGGTCGATCTTGACCGGCACTTTTCTTGGATCGTATGTCGCTCACGGTTGTCATTTATGGAAGAGATACATTTACTAATAAATGCAGGTTCTCACGTACGGTGTTCCTTCCGCCAGCGTCCTTCTCCTTGAACTCCTACGCCAATCGCATGAGCCCGGTCCACACACCGTTCCTCTCCCGCGCGCTGAGCTGATCCGAAACCTCAGCGTGGTTATTTCTTTCCTGTCGTGGGTCGCAGGCCCCGGTCACGGCAACTATCACACCTGCAAGCAAGCCGAGAAAAAGCTGTCTTGTATCCTTGATCAGCTACTCGATCCAGAGCCCGTGCAGCAGCATGTGGTGGACGATGTCACAACAGGCCTCGACAATTTCCTCAATTGGTCGAACTACAATACGATATGGGACTTCAACACTGATTATATGCCTCTTGCCGAGAGCTTTGCGCCTTGAACATTGGTCATTATATCGTGAAGATGATTTCGAGGCCAAAAGATTCATTCATTACGTCGTTATCGTAGAACACCCTCCGATCGCTGGGTGGTATCTGGTCATACCATCCACACATAATCGTTACGGGGAGGTGTGTCGGCCACAAAATAGGCCCGGTGACACAGCGGGCAATTGAAGTGGTCTCCCAAGAACCACTTCTCCAAGCATTCCCGGTGGAAAACGTGCAAGCATCGCAGTTCGCGAATCTCTTGCGTGCGGTCTACTTGCTCCAAACAAACGGCGCTGAACAGAATGTCAGCCACCACTCTACCAGCAAAGCATGGTAAAAACATACCAAACGAATTGTCCATCGACGGCCTCAGACAGTCCAAGATTTCCCTTTGTGGTTGTCCACCATTTCTCGAGCGTACAAGTTGGCGAGACCTTGTCCAACTTGCGCAACCGCTCACTGGGATTTTTCCTTGATCTCAGGAATGATTGTCTGTCCCGGCGGTTGATGAGTATTGTCAGACTGGATGGTACAGTTAGGATGAGATGGACATGGTTTATGTACCGACGGAGGGAATGTATCGGTGGGAATGGGGCGGATGGAGGGGACACAAGAGATGACATGCAATAATACACATAAGCTCCAAATAATTGAATCTCACTCACATCAAACTAAGCACGATGAGTAGCACTACCCCAAGTCCGATGCCTAAGACGATCGCCATATGGTTCTTCTTCAATTTGGTGTCTTCTGCCATCTCTTCGAGTCCAGAATCCTCTGTTGCACGAACGGGTCAGAGTCGCGTGGATGAGATAGTGACCAAGGTCGAAAGTGAGATAAAAGACCGCACTCAAAAGTTGATCCTAAATTGGTAGCGATCACAAGCTAAAGGTGAGTGTCACAACCGGGTCGCCGCACTGGTTCAGGAAGTTAGATCGTATAAGAGACTAGATCTTTCCAAAAAAAAAAAAAAGATAGAAAGAAACCAAAAGTGTCGTAATACCAGTCAGAGTCGAAAGTGAATCCTAAACTAGATGTCTGAAATCAAAATCCAAAGAAGACCAGAATTGTAAATGCACAAGGAATATCAATCTGGGGATGATCTCCATGTCCAAGCGTCGAGCGGGGAAGAGCGTGGATCATACGAGCTATTAATTGCTTTTGCTATTTACTACAATTTTCTTAGGCATTGAGCAGTGTATCGAACCAATCATCATTATGAAATGAAAGGGGGGGAATGTTGATCGGCTGGATTGTCCTTCCGTTGCACGGGGATTTGAGAGATACAAAGTACGGAGTAGATATCCTCTGAACTATTATTCGTCTAGTATTCGTCTATTAGCTTTTGTTCGTATTTTAGAATTAGTTCGGGAATCCCATCGCAATGTGGCAGATGACACCGTTTTAAAGCCAAGACTAATGCGCCTCCCTACTTTATCATTGCAAGGGTCGTATCGTAGATGGACACATTCTTCGAAGATTCTAGGTAGTGTTTCACTCTTTTCTGGTATTCTAGACTCCTACTTTATTTCTCGGGACTATTAGGGTCTAGATCTACATCTATTCACTCAGTAATATGAAGGGTAGAAAGGCTAATAAAGGCTATAGAGTTACAGCTCAAACTGAAGGTGCTATAGCTGTATGCACTTATCAACCTGCATACTCTACATTGGTTGCAGATACACTTTTCTCTAGTAGTTGCAGATCTGGTGTCATGCATATGTGTTATGTCACTTTTTCGTGTGGCTTGCTCAGCGTGCGTCTACCGAAAGTGAATACTATTGGTTTCTTAATACGCACACTCGGCTTGGTAGACGGGATGGAGATGGACATCAGAACCGATGACATAGCCAGTAAGCATGCGCCCCACTGTGATCATTTATAAAGTAGGGGCTCTAAGTAGCTGCTTATAGGGTGTCGATCAAACGTAGGAATGCTCATTGGGTGAATTTGTGGTCGAAGCGGTCTATACTGAGTACATGCATAGTCGATCTATGAAGTCGAATACAACGAAAGAGTCAGCCCTTTTTTTTTTTTTTTGCTTCTTTTTTAATAAACCCTGGGATTATAAAGATCAATGTGAGGTCAAATATAGATATATAAAAGTAAACACGACCAATGGGACTGTGCCAGGCCCATGGAACTGATTTTCCCCAAGACCCGTTTGGATTTCCTCAGGTCCAAGGGGTTACCCATAGACATATATGTACGGAGTACCTAGGTACCTAGGTACCTAGGTACATATGTAGATATGTTCAAATCCGACTATTCCGGTTTACCAATATGTCATTGGCTACATTTGAAGCTCTTTGCTCTGAAATACATATGGGGTTCTACGTTCTACTTCACCGGTGACCCACTGCGCACTAGATGTATTACAGTTAGGAGCTCATGCCCTCTCTGAGAACATGAGCAATATGGGATCTCATTTCTTTAACTAATTAGTATGTACTCCTTGCAAAAATCATCCGGGAGATCACATTCCACCACGTGCAATTCTTCCTCGTGGGGTCACGTGAGGGCGCGTAACCACGCGTTGGGCGCTCACAGGGTGAAGGCAAAGAAGGCAATATGGCATGGTATATCCCTCTATGATTCAGTTCGAGAATTTCAAATATGCCTATATCGAACGCGAGGACACGCTTCGCGCTTCACCTAGATAACTGTATAGACTACTGCAACCTCATACCAAGTGTGGGCCCAAACGTCTACCAGCCCAACGCGTCAATATAGACAAATACAAAATTAGGATTCGGAGGACTCGAATATATAATAATGTAGACTTAAAAAGGATAAGATCAAATCAAATTAAAGAAAGATTCGTGTGTCCAAGTACCAGGTACCTCGGAGGAGCACTTTGTTACTAGCGCGGGCCACGTTCTTTCTACTCCGCGTCCACACCGCGACGCGATTTGATACCGTTTTCTGCATGCCAGCCTCACGGCTTTTCCATCCTCTGTCTTTTGTCTTTTTTTTATTTTACTATTGTGGTGATCTGGTGTTCCTGTCTCTTTCTCTCTACCCTCCCAACCCCTCCATGCTCTCTTAAGTATCATGTCTGATCCGGAGCCTTCGGTGGCGATCTCATCCTCGCCCTCTCTCCCGGCCACCGACTCCAATCCTCTCAACTACGCTTTCCTCGTGCATTCGCAAAAGACTCTCACACAAAACCTCCCTCCTCGTGTCGACAATAAACTGTTAGCCCGCCAAAAGCGACGTCGAACTAGGTATGCTGTTATGGTTGCAGTCCATACTATGAACGCGTCAGTTAACCCGATATGAACGATTTTACAGTCCGGAGGATCACGCAGTCCTTGAATCCGAATACCAACAAAACCCTAAACCAGACAAAGCAGCCCGCACGAGTATCGTGAACCGCGTCTCACTCGGCGAGAAAGAGGTTCAAGTATGCGATGCCAAGAGTTCACGCACAAAAACCACTTCTAACTGGCTCACAGATTTGGTTCCAAAATCGCCGCCAGAACGACCGTCGGAAATCCAAACCCCTCCAGCCTCACGAATTACTCGCCCCGCGGTCGGGCATGGTCGATTCATCGGGTCAGCCTTTGAGTGATGATAACGCGTCGACGGAGCCGGGATCTTCAAGTGGGGCAGAGCAGTTTGACATCAACGACCACCGCGAGGAAATGGCATCAAAACCGTGGCACGGGGGGCTGTTGCACTTCTCAGATGATTCGGACCCAGTGACTGAAGATAAAGATGAACATGAGCTGCCCCAGAGCACTCAAACAAGCGTGGCAACAGAGGCTGCGGAGGAAACTCCGCCCACCACACAGGAAGAGTTTTCCCAACTGGTGAATGACCACTCCGAAGACTCGCTTCTGCAGGTACCAAAAAGGAAACGTTCAGTGTCGGATATCCGGGGCGAGGGAGAATATGAGCAGCAGGCAGCAACCACACAAACCGCACAAACCGTACAAACCACACCTACCAAGTCACCCCCATCGCTGCGTTTGTCGATGTCGTTTGATGGAGAGGCTTTGTTACGGAAAGAGGGCGAGCTAACGCCATCGCCGCCCAAGGGCCGCAACGCCTTGCGCATCGCGATGTCATCGGATGGAAAGGCAGTAATCCGCGGAGAAGACGAACCATCACCATCCAAGAATCGCGTGGCGATGTTCTCCGTTCGCCGAACAAAGATGTCTAGTCTGCGACGGAGCAGCAGCGCCGTCTTCCCAGCCACGCCGCGGGCAGGTGTTGCCGAGAAAGATCGGGCTTTCGGTCGCTCTCGCGATCCACGTAACTGGGAATCATTCTGTGACACAGACGCCAGAAGTGCACTATCAACACCAACCAGCGGGCAAAACGGTTCTCCGGGTCTCTTCCAATCTCGCAGCCAGCGCTCATTACCCCGGAGTGCCTCGGGGCGGCACGGTCTCGCTGCCCACGGCGACCCAAACACACCAATCTCTCAGTCCATGGGAGAGAAGAGACGGAAGCTCGCTCGCACTGTTTCATCTCTAGGACGACTGGAGACAGGCCGGAACAAGGCGAACATGAACCCATCCAAGCTGTCCAAGCCTCTATTTTCCAAATCCGGCAAGCCGGATCTGGAACAAGACCCCGGTGACTCTGATAAAGAAAACTGGGTTCCAGGCACACGAGCGACGAATATTCGTCGTCGCAACACTTCACACATCCCACGACCGGTCCTCCGCGATGCGAACCGTAATCGCGGTCTCGGCATCTCGACCAACGGCAAACGCAATCGACCACTTCAGACCGGCTCACAGGGCAAAGCCCCGCCAGAACTGAGTGCAGAAGTCTCAGCTTTCATGGCCGGTGGCGCGGGGGATAGTCAAGAAGATGACCTGGACTGTGTGCAGGGTCTCCTGTCGTTAAGCCAGGGGGCCTGGCGATAAGGGATGCATGATTGATACATTGATATTCCGAAGCGCCATTGCCTGTGCATCTTTTTATTTATCATTTTCCTTTGTGATACTGATTTTTCTTTGTTCGGAGCCCTGTATTTTTTTTTATTGTCCTGATGTGTGCTTGCAAGCGGTCTTTGCCACTGTCACGTGAACCTTGTCCATGATATACTTTATTCGGGCTTCTTTTTTTCTTTCTTTGCATCTCTTATGCATCTGGATCTACATGGTTCTTTATCTTTTCGTCTGCTTTACTCGGACCTGTCTGGTCTTCCGGGGCCTTTGGTTGAACAAATGTGAAAGCGAATCCCGAGAAAGATACTAATCCTTGAACGAATCCAACGACCTGAAATACATTATTTAAGTATGAATCAAAATGTTCGACTTGCTGGGTCCATTGTACAATCGACACATATCATTTATAACCACGTAGTGTTTCTATCTCTCTATCACTCTATGCTTCCAAGCTATAATTCTTCAAAAACCATCTAAACACATAACACCATCCAAATCTATCTTTACCAACTCCTCACATAACAATCATACAACCCCCTAATCAAGACCCATCCGCAGAAGGCAAAAAATCATCCTTAACCCCCATCCCACCAACCTCCCCAATCCCAATCTCACGACAAACCATCTTCGCAATCCTCTCCCCACTCCAAAACGCCCCAGTAGTAGTCCCAAGCGCCACAAACGGCGCCGTGTGCTCCCCCGCAAACCAAAGACCCCTAGTCTCCCCACTCCCATCCCCAGATCTCATAACCTCAATATCGGTATCCGCCTCCTCAACCCCAACCTGGAAATTACAATACGACCCATTCCCAGCATACACATCCTTCTGCCACTGCGTGGCCAGCAGCGCAACCGGCACACAGTCCGGGCTCTCGGCGCTGTACCCGGGGAGTCGGGAGTAGAAGGGTTGTAGTGTTGAGATTAGGGAGTCTCTGTATTCGGGTGATGAGGGCCCATATCCCGAAAGACGGTTTATTATCTCTGCGCCGCTTGAGCCGTATGTGTAGAAGAGGAGGGTTGGGTGGGCGTGTGGAGAGGGGAGAGAGGCGAGGGAGAGACATTCTTGGTTCCATTCTATGTTTTCTGGGTGGGTTGTGTAAGATGGGGTGAGGAATTGGGCGAAGACGGTGTTGGGTGTTTGGGTTGGCGTTGTTGAGGTGTTGGTGTGCCAGAATGCCCGTGGGAATGTCACGTAGACTTTTTCGAGTCGGCCGTAGGAGATGTTGTTGATTGCTTGTTCAAGACGGGGTGGGAGAGGGGGTGTGAATGCTGAGGTGTTTTGTTTCAGCCAGCCCAGTGGACAGGTTACGACTACTTCGTCGAAGTTGTAGATTGTTCCTGTGGCTGTTGTTACGGATACTTTGTGTTTTGTGTCGGATTGGCGAGGTGGTGTGGTGATGTTTGTGACTGGTTCGTTGAGACGGATGTCGGCTTTTTCAACGGCGGTTTTGGCGACGTGTTCTAGGATACGCTTGTATGTAGATGCCACGACGAAGTTGCCTGGATGGATATTAGAGGTCTGTTATGCAGCCGGGGCCGATTTGCTATACATACTCCCATCAACGCATTCTTCCAGACGGAAGAATTTCAAGCTCTGCTTGTCAACTTGGTCGCCGACATATGCACCCCAGAGCTTACAGGCATCGAGACAGAGCTGTTTCTCTTCATCTGAGAAGGTCGTTTTCTGGACTCGATCGCAGAAGAAATCGAACAGACTTCGCTCGACGGGGATACTTTCTCCGTTGTGATTGCTGTATTTGAAGGCTTCGGCTATAGTAGTCCATACAAAGTCCTGGACTTTAGCGCTCACTTCGTCGTTGATCGGGTGGCCGTCTCGCGAGTAGGAGATATGTCTGCCACCCTCGGGATCATACATGACGGTTCCCGTTTCTTCCGCTATGGTCATGATAGGGTTCTCGCCCGCGCCATGTATCCAATTGGGGCCTCTGGGTTGATGGTTAGCTGGTGTATACTTCCAAATCAAACTATCATGCAGGGGTACATACAGATCCACCACATGGTCTCCAACTGTTGATTGGTGTACCTAACCGATGAAAGTTAAAAAAATGACTTGGCTCCTGCAGTACAAGGAAGACATACTCTCCCGCCAATGCGATCTCTTGCTTCTAGGATTGTTACTCGGGCGCCATTTTGGATGAGGATGTCGGCGCAGCGAAGGCCTGAAATACCTGCGCCGATGATGCCGATGTGTGGACTTGCCATGGTCAAAAATCAACTTGCGATCTGTATAGGTAAAATGAACATGAACATGTGAAGATTCTGGATGTCATTGGGCGGTGCTGCCGAGGTCGAATGATTGGTTACCGTTATCACCCCGGAGCCACTAGGGCTCTTATCGAGCTACTTCCAACAGTTACAATAGATCTACTAGTTATGGACATATTATTTTGGTATTGGATTGAATTGAGCGAGTCTAAAAGACATCGCAGATGCCGGGTCAAATAAATGCTCGGCAAAATCAGATCGAGCTCAGTTATGACCAGCATAATAGATACAAAAAAAAAAAAAAAGAAACCATGCGCCTGGTCGAACCTCCTAAGCCGCTAGAAGCGGGGACATTGTAAGGACCACTGTCACTGCCGTAGAACTCCATGACGAAAGCGCTTTTTGAAACGAGAAACAGGCGACGGATATGTACGGATCGGAGGTAATGGAAGGGTATCAAGGAAAGTCAAGAGAACGGAGCAAAGCGCCGAGTAAAAGAAAGCCGATAAAGAAGCAGTGGAGATCAACTCCGTGAGACAATGTTGGAGCACATGGGGGTGCTTGGTTGTAAACGAGGCGCGGAGATCGGGTAGACTCGTATTAGACTGAGAAATACCCTTCAGTCTTCCCAGATGGTCTCCAGGTCGAGATCCTGCCGTCGCTCGGCACCACAGACACTCCATCGCTTGCGCTTATCGTTCCGGGCTGCGTATCCGCCCGAACCCCCGCGCATTGTGCTGAATGAGTTGGGCGCATCGGATGCCCCGCGCCGTCGGTTGGCATTGGTTGCGGCGTCAGCTGCATCAGCCGCGGCTTTCAACTCCGCGATGCGATCCTCTTCAAGGGCCTCATTCTCAGCGTCGGGGACGTCGGGTATTGTTTCCAGAGACGAAATGCTGGGGCTTCGCGAGCGAAGGCTGGTTGGAGTTGAGGGGACGGAGATGGAGGAAACGGAGCCAGATGGGCCGGGATAAGATTCGTTGTATTTGGAGCCCAGAATGGGTGAGGAATGTAAGGAAGGGCTGATGGGGGTCTGGAAAGGAAGGGGTGAAGTCGGACGCAGGCGACCGATGCGGGGGAAAGTTTGCGCCATCAGGACGGGAGACGAGGCTGGCTGTGGCGATTTGGGAATGGTTTCTAATTCTGCGTTCTCGGAGATAGTTTCTGAGATGTTGAGAGAACCCATGCGGGATTCGATGTAATCGTCAGGGCGCATCAGGGGATATCGTTTTGCATCGCGGCCATTGACGAAGATATAACGACCTTGGGAGTCCAGCCCTGGGGAAGAATAAGCGCGCGTCATTGACGGCATTCCCGGGATTCCAGCCAGTGATCGAGAGCGGAGATGTGGTCGGGCCAAAGGGGATCGTGTCCGGGGTGGTGCCTGTGGTTCAGAGGAAAAAGTGATCATGACGTCCTCCTTTTCGGGGACACCCCCGGAGTTGGTCCCGGATTCGTTGCGCATCTCTTCAGGTCTTCGTAAAGAAATAAAGAGAAAAGGGGGTAAGCGCGATTTACCCTCGCATCATAGTAAAAGGAGAAAACTCTTGGACCTGCCAAGTGAAAGAAAAAGGGGAAGTTCCGAAATGATAGTAGTGAGGTCGAAGATGTGAAAAGGAAAAAAAAGTGAGCCAAGGCCCAGAATCCTAGAATCGGAGAACCACCTTTACTCGAACCCCTGACCTGTCCAAACAATACTAGCGATTTCACATAGAGCTTCCTCGACAATTTCTATGTCGGTTTCCACTGGCGATGAGGGTGCTCTTCCGATAAGAAGCTCAAAAGGGATGATGAGCGGGGACCCGGAAACTCTGACTTGGCCATCGGTTTCTTGAATGAGAATGTTCTGAGTTCGGCAGGGTTTCTGCTTGATGGTATCCCATTCGTATTTTTCGAGTTTGATCTCTGGCTTTCTTCGATTGATTTTCATTGCCAACGCGATGTTGACGTTCCCTCGCGCAGGATCTACCCACATGTCCACATCCCGACGCAAGCGAGCCAGAGACTCGGAAACCGCAATTTCTACGACTACTGTGGTCCTCCTAGGATACCTCCTTCGGACCCAACCGACGTCCGGCTGTTTCACTCCTTGGGGATGTGTGTGTGGAACTTCTGCCGCGCTCATTAATGCTTTCTCTAGCTTCATAGGGCGTAAAGCATCCACAACAGCGTCGCGTAGAGCAACACCCGCGTTGGTATGCGCTGGTGTCACCAGTTTGGCGATCAAAGTGTTTTTTTCTTTTTCGAATGATATACGGACAGACTTGATAAGACCTTCTTCTGGGTCGAGGTCGAGGTCGAAGTCCCGCTGGAAAGTGGCACTGTCGATATCAAAAACAACGTATTCGTTATCGAGAGTAGGATTGTCGATAAATTGGATTTGAAGATGTAGGAGGAGTTGGTCATAGTGATTCTTTCCTTGATATTGATATCTCCTCGTTGTGGAAGGTAGGCATATATCACCCAGGCCCCCATTAGGGACATTTTGGCAATTAGGTTCGGTCATCTTGCAGTCTTTTTGTCTAGAGAATGTGTAGTATCTAGCACATATTTATCTCAATTTTGTCTTGATGGTTTAAATATTCGCCTAACCTCTAGGTCATAATTATAACTACAATATCAAAGGTATGTCATTATGATTTGGGTAGTATAAGCACAAAGGACCCGAGCTTGAGGTAACTTCATAATTAGGTATGTACTATGTAAATATAGAATATGTGCTTCAGATGTCTTTCAGATGTCTTTCAGATGTCCTTTTAGGCGTCTTTCCAAATGTCTTTCCAAATGTCTTTCCAATAGATCCTTTCCCGGTTTTAGAACTAGGGGTATAATAATGAGCTATAGAAGTGGCAGGAATGGGAAGAATAGTCCAGGCTAGACTCTACGATTTGTATAGAGCCCGGTGACATTCAAGGCAATTTTGATATCGACCGCAGGATTTTAGACAGCTCTACGGAGTTGGTGACACCAGATACATAACATTTGATACAATTCCTCCAAATTACTTATTAAACAGTATAGAAAAGGCCAAGCCAATGGCATATGAACAAAATGCAAAAGAATGACAGGGATATCTCAAGGGTTGGTCTTTTCCTCGCCCTCCTTGCACTTGGAGACGTGCTTGCGGACATAAGTCTCCCGCACCACATCACCTTCATGCTTGAACACCACCCACTCACCCATACCATACTCCTCCGGTGCAACACGTATACCACGACCACCCCCACCAACAATTACATTACCAGGGCGGTATTTAGGATCCGCCTGCATACGCCGGATAGCAGAAACGTGGATCTCAGCATTATGCGGAACATCCCGCACCTCACCACGAGGCAACGGCCAACTAATCGGCTTCCACGACCCATCCGGCTGCAGATCCATACGACGGAACGGCAACCATTCCATGATGCGCCACGTGATAACCGACATAGTAGGAATACCCTGGTTGAACATCAGGCAGTCATGCAGCAGCCCCTTCGTACTGGAAGTATGCAGCGCATGCCAGAAGTCGCGACTAGCAGCAGACCGTTCCTTCTCATTAGGTATAGAGCGGAAAGCATCTTCGTTCTCGGCATGAGGCTCAACGCACCGACTCGGCCGTCGGGCATTGATCTCTTCCCGGATCGGGCTGTAATCACCATCATATTCCTCCAGACACTGGAACTGCTTCATCTTGCGCTCATCCAGCTCGAGTCCGGCTTTCTGCGCTTCCTGCGTCATCCACACGAGCGGCGCGTGGCTGAGAGCCCATGACTCGCCGTCTGAGAGCGTCCACCCGCCGCCGATATCTGCGTGGCAACCCGGGAACCAGACCTCGTGGATGTCTTGGTCGTCTTCGTCATCGCTCGAATCAGCCTCTATGACTGGAACTTGCACCGAGAGGGTGTTGGAGTGCAGACTGTGGAAGGACTCTTTGCTTCGCACTGAATGGAGATCGTCCATGGATGCCTTCGGCACTGCGAGGCTGAGTCGGGGAGAGCGTGCGCGGTATGTGTCGGGCTTCATTGTCCCACTTTCGCTACCAGCGCGGGGGGGGGTTGCGAGGTGCTGTTTGGAGCTGGGTGGTGCGAGGCACGGCGCTCGGTGTGGTAATATGTCTCTCCAGTACTGGGGCCCCATCTGGGATCTTTGAACTCGGGCTCGTCCTTCTCTTCTTCCTGCTGTTCTTCCTCGGGTTTGTCATTGAACCGAATGGCAGGGACGTTGTCCGGGTGTTCCTCCTGAGGCTTCTCCTCGGGCTTCTCTTTGTGGTCCTGGTGGAAGAGGTGCAGATGATTCTTGGGCAAATGGTGGCGGCGACGGTGTTTCTTCTTCTCCTTCGGGCGCGCTCCAGAGATCAGATCTTGCCGGAACTTCGCGCGGCGCTCGTCAATACCCACGGCATGACGAATCACCTTGGCCGAGCTGCGTGCTGTGTAGGGGAACTTGGTGCGCTGCATCCACGCAGACTCGAAACGTGGCACACTGTTGACGGTGTCGAAGAGACCCATGAAACGGATACGAGAGATAGGACGACTGAAAGTCTCACGGAAGGCTTTCATGTATGTGAAGAGCTTCTTCTTTTCTTCGCGCTCTTCTTCCGAGTCGTCCGACCGCTGCTGCCACTTGGCAAATGTCTTCCATGCAAAGCGGACCAGTTCCTCGTTTCCTGCTTCGAGCAAACCGATATAGTCTAGCATCTCTGCCAGAAATCGTGCGATGTATGAACCACGACTGAAGCCGATGAAGAAGATCTCATCGCCAGGGGAATAGTATCGCATCAGGAACTTGTACCCACCCATGACATGCTCGTCAAAGGAAGACCCGACCGCCGAGTCCTTGGCCTTTTGATACGCAGACTTGATACGTTGGATTCGGCCATGGCTAGTCAGCGACTTCGATGTCACGTATGTGCCAATGCCTGGCTGATAGTAATGGTACTGGTGGCTTTTGCTGCGGTCAAGCATCTGCGACTTCTTAGCACCTATTCAAACGCTTGGCTCACAGTCCCACTTACGCGAAAGATCTTGAGCACATTGCTATCCGACTCGTCACCAGCGAATTTGTTTCCGGTACCATCAAAGCAAAGCACAAACTGCTTCGGCATGCCCGATAGGGCTTGGTGTTCATACCCGTAAGCCATTATGCCGAATGAGAATCAGACAAAAAAGTTCGAAACTTCAGGCACACCTAATAAGACCTCAAGGGGCTATATACGAGAAGGGGGGAAAGGCTCAAGGCTGGGATGACGCTTTGATGCATTTGGATACAGCTAGTATTACACGAATCAGCGTCCTACATCAGACCCAGTGAAAGGGGGGCAGGATAAGAATATTCAACCCACTAGCCGATCGCTGCAGATTTGTGAAAAGAATACGTCAAACCTGAGCGGGCTGACGGGCGGGTCCCCCAGACTTGGCACATTCCCATCACAAGGGCCTTTTGTTTTGGATTATTTTCTGTACGGAGGACATGATTCACTGATTCGCATCTATGCAGATGCAGGTTACACAAAGCCCTCGAGTCTAACGGGGGCGCATTCGATCCAATGGGGACACACCGGTTATCATTGCTGGATATGAAAATTTGTCGCGAACCGGGCTGAACCTGACTCGAGTTCTGCACGAGGGATGCGGCTTGCGCGGGCCGGACCTGGGTAGCGTGTGAATTTGGAATTTTGTGAGATGGAGCTGAACAGATACTAGAAGAGAGACGCGCAGGTTTTACTCGTTGCTCCGTGCGCGAGTACTCATTGGCCCTTAGTTGGCATCGAGGTTGGAGCTATGAGAGTTTGAAAGGAGACGATGCTAGGTGGTGTTCGGGACATTATTGTCGATCATTCTCCACAGAGCGCTCCTGGACACCAATGATTCAGGGGGTGTAGGGGGTGTAAGGGGTGGGATGGGCGTTCCTATTGAGTGTTCCGTCGCCTCGGTTCGGCCTTGGGGCGATCAGATCCGTTCTAACCCTCTATAGTAGTCGATATACAATCCTTCACGGCCCAGGACCGTGATCCACTTGTGTTTGCCATTTTCCTGGAATTGAGAAAGTTTCTCGAGGTCTCACTGTGATTGTGATTGCAATGATCACATACAATACAACCTTGGAGTATAAACCTTTATCAGGCGTCATCCCGCGTGAAGTTCTAAGCTGAAAATGGTTGTCAATACCCGAAGAGGAAGGAGAGTGGGATATCCTTCATATCCCGAAAAAAATGGAAGCCAATAGACTCGGATCTACATCCGAACAAGGGATCTTTGTAATAATAGCTGACTTCTAGGATATGCATTTTATGCATAATTCATCCCATGGATACGGAGTAGATTATGCGGGAGTGGCCGTATTACCCTTCCATGGTTCTCTAAGATTGAGAATATCTTGATCATCTGAGCTTCAAACGTCTGTCAGATTCGCGTGGAAACTCTCGTTCTACCGAGAAAAACGCAGAAAAACGCCACGAGGATAAGACAAACAATTAAGTCCCTGAAAGTGGATAGACGTCCCGAGATGGATCAGATTCTGAATAATTCGTGATGACTGGCAGATTTCAGCTGCCAATGACAGAGGAGATATTGTGGTTCACGCGAGTGGCCCGTTCGCCACTTAATTGCATAGTAAGTGGATGCACGAGTGGACCTACGACGATCAAAACAAAAGAAAAAAAGTAAAAAGGGTTTTTTTTTCATGGAGAGTTCTGCTTCCCTGTCACATTAGGGTTCTTCCTTACATCCCAAGTGCTACGGACGGGATATGGAGCATCACCTCCTACACAACATAACCCTAATTGGAGCAAATTATAGGTGTGACACTCGAAAGTTCAGTTCCAGCCAGCCACTGATGTATATTGGAATTTCTTTTTCGCCTCGGAAAAGAGCGAAAGTCCGAGCATTTTACCCCCACTTGGTGTCGATTTAGCTCGATCTTGAGATCCCATTATGCACCAGTTTGCACTACGGACGACCTCGTACAGGCTGTGTACACCGCTGCTTATAGATTCGCTTGTAGTCCCGTATTACGGCTTTCTCACACTTATTGGCCTATCATCCGCTCTTCCGAACCTGGTATAGATCTAGATTTGGATTTACTTTTCAGCTCTGCCGGGTTATACCATGCATACATAACCTCGGCCATATCATATTGAATCTTATGATTCCCACTATAGGGTATTCTCTAGGTATACATCCTAGAACAGATATCCCCCTTTCTCAGGTACCAAAGGTCATAAATGATGATCAGTTACTATATTGAGACACTTCATCGAGAGTCCACTATAGAAACTCCACTCAGCTCAGGAACTAAGCTTGTACCATGCGGGGCTGGGATATTTGTTACAGAGACCAGGTTCAGGTCCGAGAGATCGACCTAATGCTCTCCATTAAAACAAAAATGCTGTTACTGTAGTCAATCAACTATTGGCGATAGCAAATCCGCCACTTTTTAGACGCTCCACAGTCCTGCAGCTGACTTGCGTCGCCCGCGCAGCTCGTTTTAAACAGTACCGTCGAGCTTCTGATTTATTTCCCCCCTGATCTGGCCCTCAGTAGCCACTTTGTGTTTCTTCTTTTACTTAATTTTTCCTGACTTGTTAGTGGCATCATTTTTCACAATGTTAAGGAGATTCTCTACCCAATTCAAGCGGTCCAAGGACTCCAAGGACTCCAAGGACCCGAAGGAGTCCAATGGTGACACCGAGCCCAAGATCACAGACAAGAGCAGCAAGCGCATCTCCAAGGTGTCGCCAACTCGCAAGTCCACCTCTAATCAGGACGAAAACCACGTTGTGAAGCGTTCCGAGGTCGTTGCTGTATTTGAGAAGTATGCGCAAGCAATTCACGCTTCGCAGGATCCCCTGCCCAACCAGACGGGCGATAGCGCCTACTTGAAGCACGACAAGTCGTCCGGCCTCATCAATGACATCAAGTCACTGGGATTCCGTGATGTCAACACTGTCAAAGACCTCATTGCGAGCAAAACCTCCGGTGAACTTGTTGATGATAAGACCTACTTGATGGAGCGCATAATCCAGATGGTCGCGGACTTGCCCGGTAACTCCAAGAACCGTACCGAGCTCACCAGTGTATTCTTGGATGAGCTATGGAACTCAATTCCTCACCCGCCTCTTTCGTGAGAAATCCCCAATTGGAGCTGTTTTGTAATTGCGCGCTAACACCGTGAATAGTTACATGGGAGATGAGTACAAGTACCGCTCGGCCGATGGCTCAAACAACAATCCCACTCTTCCATGGCTGGGAGCTGCTAATACCGCATACTGCCGCACCATCCCTCCTCTGACTATCCAGCCCAGCGGATTGCCCGACGCCGGTCTGATTTTTGATACCCTCTTTGCTCGTCAGGAGTTCACTCCGCACCCAAACAAGGTCTCCAGTGTTTTCTTCGACTGGGCCTCTCTGATTATTCATGGTAAGTCAGTTCTACTGAAAGGTATAATTCAGGGCTAATATACGGGTTTTGTACATAGATATTTTCCAGACCGACTACCGCCAACAGCACCTCAACAAGACCTCTGCTTACCTTGACTTGTCCATTTTGTACGGTGATAACAAGGAGCAACAGGATCTGATCCGTTCCCACCAGGATGGAAGGCTGAAGCCCGATTGCTTCTCTGAGGGTCGTCTGCAAGCCCTTCCTGCCGCCTGTGGTGTCCTGCTGGTTATGCTGAACCGTTTCCACAACCACATTGTTACCCAGCTGGCTGAGATCAACGAGAATGGTCGCTACAGCAAGCCCCGCCCTGGTCTGTCCGAAGAGGACAACAAGAATGCCTGGGCCAAGCGTGATGAGGATCTGTTCCAGACCGGTCGTCTTATTACTTGCGGTCTATACATTAACATCACTCTGTATGATTATCTGCGCACTATTGTTAACTTGAACCGCACCAACTCAACCTGGTGCTTGGATCCCCGTGCTCAGGCGGAGAAGGCTGGTTCCACTCCTTCTGGTCTCGGCAACCAGTGCTCTGTCGAGTTCAACCTGGCCTACCGTTGGCACTCGGCCATCAGTCAGGGTGACGAGAAGTGGATTGAGCAGATCTACTATGACCTTATGGGCAAGCCTGCCGAGGAGGTCACCATGCCTGAGCTGATGATGGGTATGAAGAAGGTTGAGGGTATGCTCGAGGCTGATCCTGCCAAGCGTACCTTCGCCCGCCTGCAGCGTAACGCGGATGGATACTTCGATGACGGAGAGCTTGTCAACATCCTGACCCATGCTACCGAGGATGTGGCCAGCTCTTTCGGTCCCCGAAATGTGCCCAAGGCTATGCGCTCTATCGAGATCCTCGGTATCGAGGCCTCGCGTAGATGGAACGTCGGTTCTCTTAACGAGTTCCGTAAGCACTTCGGTCTGAAGGCTTACGAGACTTTCGAGGAAGTCAACTCCAACCCCGAAATCGCTAATACCCTCCGCCACCTCTACGACCACCCCGATTTCATTGAGCTGTACACCGGTATCGTCACTGAGGAGGCCAAGGAGCCCATGATCCCTGGTGTCGGTATCGCCCCCACTTACACCATCTCCCGTGCTGTGCTGTCCGATGCCGTGGCCCTTGTCCGTGGTGACCGCCACTACACCATTGACTACAACCCCCGTAACCTGACCAACTGGGGTTATAACGAGTGCCGCTACGACCTCAACATCAACCAGGGCTGTATCTTCTATAAGCTGGCCACGCGCGCCTTCCCCAACCACTATAAGCCTGACTCCATCTACGCCCACTACCCCATGACCATCCCCAGCGAGAACCGCAAGATCATGAAGGATCTGGGCCGTGAGCAGGACTACTCCTGGGATAAACCCGCCTTCACTGAGCCTCGTGTCAACCTGACCTCCCACCAGAATGCCAAGCTACTCCTCGAGAACCAGAGGGACTTCCGTCCCAGCTGGGCCCGCTCCATGTCTCAGCTCTTTGGCAAGGGCGAGTTTGACACGAAGCAGCGCGAGGCTATCGGCAAGGCTCTCAACACCGAGGAGTTCCCCAAGCTCGTCAAGACCTTCTACGAAGACATCACTGAGCGCCTGATTGCCGAGAAGGTTGGCCAGCTGGGCAAGATCAACCAGATCGATATCACCCGCGATGTCGGCAACCTAGCCCACGTCCACTTCGCTTCTAGTCTCTTCGGCCTTCCCCTTAAGACCGAGCAGAACCCACAGGGTCTCTTCACCGAGCACGAGATGTACATGATCCTTTCGACCATCTTCTCCGCGCTTTTCTTCGACGTCGACGCACCTCGCTCGTACGCCCTGAACCGCGCCGCCTCCGCCGTCTCCACCCAGCTCGGCCAGGTCGTCGAGGCCAGCGTCAAAGCTGACACAAACAGCGGTCTCTTCTCCGGTATCATGGATAGCTTCCGCCCGCACGACAACGCCCTCCGCGAGTTCGGAACAGAAGCTATCCGCCGCATGAAGGAAGCCGGCTCCAGCGCCTCGGACATCACCTGGTCCGCCATCGTCCCAACAATCATCGGCCTCGTCCCCAGCCAGGGCCAGGTCTTCACCCAAATCGTCGAGTTCTACACCGCGCCCGAGAACAAGATCCATCTCGCTGAGATCAACCGCTTCGCCAAGGCCGACTCCGCCGAGTCGGACGAGAAGCTGTACCGCTACTGTCTCGAGGCTATTCGTCTGAACGGCACCTTCGGCGCTTTCCGCGAGGCGAAGGAAGCTGTCACTGTCGAGGAAGATGGCAAGGTTTACACCATCCAGCCTGGTCAGCAGGTCTTCGCCTCCTTCAACCAGGCAAACCACGATCCCAGTGTCTTCCCCGAGCCTAACCAGGTTAAGCTCGACCGTCCTCTTGACTCGTATATCAACCACGGCCAGGGTCCCACCACCGGTTTCGGCGAGCAGATCACCAAGATTGCGCTCATTGCTATGTTGCGTGTTGTCGGTCGTCTGCAGGGTCTTCGTCGTGCTCCTGGTGCCCAGGGCCAGCTTAAGAAGATTTCCCAGGAGGGCGGATACTCGGTTTACCTCCGTGCTGACGGAACTTCTTTCTGTCCCTTCCCCATGTCGCTTAAGCTGCACTGGGATGGTCCCTTTGAGCAGAAGAAGAAGGCGACGTCTTCCTGAGTTTTGGGGTTTGTTGGTTGAAGCTGGTTATGTCAAACTGCGGACGTGTCATGTTATGTGGAGGTAATTAACTCGGGGTTGGCTATGATTCTATGCCTTTTTTTACTGTTTTGTTTTCGATGGCCTGTTTGGTTGTCAGGATATCCAGAAATTGTTGAAGCTTTCAATGTTGTTTATAGCAGTGTTGTGTATAGTTCATGAATAGTTCATTGGTTTCATTTTTTGGTTTGAGTATGACTCAGTAGAGTAGGTAGAGAGAATACCAAAAAGATCAACCAGCTCTACGCGTTCGCGTGACATATAGGGAGGGGCACGTTGTTGGGATCGTTGGCGGGTTGACGATGGATGAAGGTATTATTTGTGACGGCACAATGGAAGGCCTGAGGGGTTATTAGGTATATGATGCAAGTTCATTCGGGACCCAGAGGCAGTGAAGAAAATGCAACATCGATATCAGGATTGCATGTTCCTAGTCCCTGTTTGCAGACGAAGGTGACAGTTGTCAGATCTCGCGCTCTTCCCTATCCATATCAGGCACCGGACAAATGATAATAATCTTCTCTTCTTTCGTTGTAGAGATTTCTGGCTGGATATATTAGTGACAAGTTAACATTAAAGGTGGTCTCCGACAATATCTCTCCAGGAACTATCCGATAAAAGTGAAGTGAAGTCAAGTAAGTCGCTGTCGCGTGTCCGGGATCTGCTCACCGCTTTCGCGTTCAGTCCGCAACTCCGATGTTCAATCCAGACCTGAAGGCACTGGTCCTTGAATCAAACTGGAATCAAAACGTTTTGTATGTTCAAAGGAGGGGTTCAGATTGTTTTCTTCTCATATCCACCAAACAATCACCCTCTACGAAGACATTAGACCAGACCCCATATCTTCGATCGGCAGTGGGATTCGCGCCAACCCTTCAACCCGTGAGAATTCAGTCAATACAAGACCACCGAGAGCACTCTCCCAATCGCAAAAGTGGGATCGCGCAGACTAGAAAATTCCCGAAAAGCCATCTGCAATACCCTATACCCTCGATGCAATCCACATGATGTCTCCGGCAGTCTCGGTGGAACTTGTATCGGTTTAGTTTTGCCCGCGATCTTCGCTCGCATATTTGGACCTCGCAGGAGTCCACACAAGCTTTATTTCTCGAAACTACGAACGGGAAATAGTGCGAAGATATCATCTCGAGCCTGCGCATAATACACCTTCCCACTCTACTCGTGACAGCCATGGCGGAGATGGAGATGGCCGCCGGCGCAAACCATGTGAACGGCTCCGCGGCCACAATGTCCACAACAAACCCCTACGAAACAAACCCTGATCACATTCCCAGAGATGACCCGTTTCTTTCCCAGAGCCCGCAGTATGGTCGCTACACACCCCGCGCCGACGATTTCACCCCTCGCTTCATGAACTGGTATCAGTCTGACCCGGCTGTGAACTCGTTCTGGGAGAAGGTCGCGCAGAAATACTGTACCCCGGAATACTCACTCAATATCTCAGGGCCGAGGGAGGCATTCGCGGCTGGGAGTATAATTATTCGGGTTGACCGCGAACTGGCCGATGGAGCGGCGGCTGAGAGATACTCGTCTGCGAATGAACTGTCAGCCGCGCAGAAGGCAGAGGACTCGCTCAGAGAGATTGGAGTGGCAGTGCCAGTGATATGTTTTTGCGGGACGATTGAGGGGAGGAATGTGACAATCGAGTCTCGCATTGCGGGCGTTTCGCTGGAAGTTGCGTGGAGATATCTTGACACGGAACAGATTGAGGTTCTGAAAAACCAGTGTCGCCAGATCCTCCAGCGGCTCGGAACGATCGATTCCCCCCCAGACGAACCGTCCTATGTATGCCGTGAACTCAATTCCCAAATTCCACCCTCCGTCGAGCCTCGCGAACGAGATATCCTATTCACAGACAAAACCAAGGAGGAGGAATTATCTTTGACACACAATAACTTCATTCCGAGCAATGTCATTGTCCAGGATAATCGGGTGGTGGGGATTGCTGGTTGGCGACAATGTGGATATTTCGGCACCGTCAGAGCGAAGAAGGTCCACCGACTCTTCAGGGATCTTGGGCCTGCGCCTCAAAATGGCGTGGCCAGTTCCGAGAAGAGTGTGACTTGGACCGACCTCTACGATGGTGCCTACGACCCCAGTAAGGGCATTCCGCTGGTCGCTAACCAAGATACACCCTTACCCTCAGTCAAAACCGAACCAACAAGCTCTACCCTCGATAAATTCCCGGCTAGCGACGACTTGGACACAAATTCATTAGGTCTCGATGGCACGGGCGACTTCGCGACCTCCAAAACAGTGGCGAACCTCAAGCATGGGCTGACATCAAGGGCATCATCATCCGACCGGTCCTCCCCGGCAAATTCCGTCAAAACAGCAAACAAAAAGCCCGCAAGCACTGCTAAAAAGGGAACTGCAAAGAAACCTGCCGCCAAGAAGCGCAAGACGAATGATCCAGAGGTAGACAGCGTTGACGGGCGACGTTCCAACACACCGGTTTCTAGGGCCAGCAAAACACCCGCCAAGAAGCAAAATTCTGTCTCGATAGCAGGGTCTCCACCTCCAGAGGAGAAGAAAAAGCCATCGAAGAAGAAGAAGAAAGGGCCCAAACAAGCTACTACCCAGGAAAACGACGACTCTGACAGCTTTGACGAAAACGCGATCTTTTGTATTTGCCGCCGGCCTGATAATCATACATGGATGATCGCGTGCGATGGCGACTGTGATGACTGGTACCATGGGAAATGCGTCAATATCGATCCTCGAGATGCGGATCTGATCGAGCGGTATATCTGTAAGTGTCAAATGAGAAACGGCCCTCTTCTATTCAAAACTAACTTCAAACACCAGGCCCGAATTGCGCAAGTGAAGGAAAGGGATGCACAACATGGAAACCGATGTGCCGCCTGGTCGAGTGCCGGAAACCGGCGCGCGCCAAAACAAAGCCCCCGAGTAAATACTGCTGCGATGACCACGGCCGGGAATTCATGCGTCAACAGACACAACAGCTTAAACAGCGTGCCGGTCAGACGAATGGTCTTTTCGAAGACCTGGGTAGCATGGGTGGCATCCTTACGGCTGGAGACCTGAAAGCCGCCATCATGGGGGTGACATCCACACAAGAATTCCGCAAGCTCGGAGATCGCATCATCTCCCCGCCACCACAGGTAGAAGAGAACGAAACCGCCGGGCCTGGAATCAAGACCGAATCAAAGCCGCAGAGCGGCAGATGGTTGGCAGTCGACGTCCATGATGTTGCCATGGAATATTCACACGACGAGATTGCCAAGATCGAAAAGCTGCGCAAGCAGCGCGAGGAACTCCTTCATCGCAAGGAGATGCTTGCTGCACGCACGACGTTCGTATCCCTTCTCAAGCCACGCGCCAAGGGCATAGTAGAGAAACTAAAGCAGCACGAGCCGAAGGGCGGATGGAAAGATATCTGTGGCTTTGACTCTCGGCTTTCGTGGTCTGACGAAGAATTCGATGAATGGCGACTCTCCGGTGCTGGAAAGAAAGCTCTCGCGGAGGGAACCGCTGAAGCTTTAGCTGTGGGGTCCTCGGCTAGTACTGATGCCGACGGGGACACGGCGATGAACGGCGATAGCGATGACGATATTACATTCTGGACGCGTGGCGTCTGCACTAAGAAGCGGTGCGAGAGACATAAGCAGTGGGTTAAAGTGCAGCAGCAAGATATTCTCTTTGAGGAGGAAACGGCAGAGCAGGACCTCGCCAGATGTGAGGAGGAAGCTCGGTCTGTGGTGGAGAGGGGTGTGATGAGACGATGGGCCGAGAAGGATAATCAGGTTTGAATGTCGAATAGGGGGGTTTTTTCTCAAGAGACTTCCATGGCCAGCCTGATTCCACAAAACAAAAGCTTGATACCCCTTGATTGCGGAAAGGCACAAAAAAGGCTCATGGACTGGAGTTGGTTGCAGATTTTAATATAGCAGGATGGTAGTGGCTGCGTTTTTGGGCCAGTTGCATACAAAGCGGCGCTTTGCGAGGGGCGGATCTGTTTTGAAAATATTATTTTGTAAGAGTATCGACAATTGCATCGAGATCCAGGTCATCTTTTACTGGCAGCGACATCATAGCAAATGGTATCATTCATTGCTCGTTCCATATTCCCCATTTACCTAGGCTCGTACCAACTCGATCTTTGATCACTTCGACTATCTGAGCTCCTCTCACATCAGAAAGCAACAGATGGGTATCGGTGCCTTGGTCTAACGTTTTCATGAGCAAGGTCGGGAACAGAGAAGGAATATCCGAATGGAAGACGGAGTGAATTCCATCTTCTAGCGGCTGTCTCACAGCACTATCTCTGGTAGGGTTTCCAGTCAACGGTTGATTTTTATCCCACTTTGGTCTCATTGTCCCCAGTCCATTAGTATTGACAAGAATGATGGAGAGATGAGAGGCGTGCACACGAGACAAGCGCGTCAAGGTGCGGAGTGTAGCTGTCAAAACGGCTGCACCTCGAGCTGGATTGGAGGCTCGGATTACGCCTTCAGCTAGGGTATCGAGGCCCACGATAATGAGGACAATGGGGCTGTGGACGGATGGGTTTGTCTCAGTCGGTTTGTTCTGTTCTCGCTTTTCTTGGATCTCGTGCAGCGCTTCCGAAACCTTAGCGATGGCCTGTGCGGCATTGGCGAAGTTGTGTACGGGTAGTAACTGCACAGCGTCAAGTCTACGGATTGCATCATCCCTTGATAGACCAGGGTAGCCATGGGAGGGAGACTGCAGCTCATTGAGTAGAGTCCTTGGGGCAAAAGCCTCGAAACTTCGTGGATGGATGATGAATGCGCTCGATTCAGATGATGGATGGATACCCCGCAAATGGTTTGTGAGAATATATCGAGGAATCTATGGCAAATATTAGTCTCATAACATTGTACAGCGAGTAGTATTAAGTCGGTCATACCTGTCCGAGATACTCGTTGCTGTCGTTGCGTTTCATTTGTAGTCTGGAGAAACCGAGGACAACCCCGCACCGAAAGACTCCTTCCTTGGAGGATTGGATACCCTGTTTCCAATCATTTTTGAGGTTCCAGCTGTTTTTGGCGGTTGTCTCATTTGGAGGAGCTGCATTTTCCCTTGACTCTGGTAGGAGTAGAGAATCAGCAAGGATCGGGAATGCAGGCTCTGCCGAGTAGACATTTGGTGCGCTTGCCATGGCTCCCTGTATACAAAGTCCTGTCAAGTTACTATGGATCTGATGTCAGGATATATCAACTGTAGAAGAAGCGAAGAGCAGGTGGTTGATGATAGGGACAAACGCGAAAGTGGATATCCCCCGATTTGGTCTAGCCGCACCCTTCACTACTTGAAGGTTCAATCCATTTTACTTAGAGATCTTGGATTATTTTGAAATTGCTTTTGATCATGTATTATGATGAAAATAGATAGATAATATGCTAGAGGTACCTTTCTGGCGAAAAATGGTCAAGGTCGCTTCCACACTCCACGTCCATCATGCACCCAGCCCCCGTCCCCGATGACATCGTCCAAAACGGCTAGCAGATCCTGCCGAATGGCCTCCACATGCAGGTCACCGCACCTGAACTCTTTCAAGCAGGGTAGCTTATTCACAGTATACCCAATCAAAGAGTACGAAGTGGCGAGTTCCATCCAAGGATCGTTGGGATCCATAGACCCTCGTTGTTCAAGTTCGATAATATGATTATCCTGAAGGGGTGCCAACTGTACATCAAGGCGACGCAGACGACGCATCCTCACGACAGCATCCATTACAATTTGCGAGTGATTGTAAAATGGAAACACGGCCGTGTAGGAAAAGTATGTGAGGCCGCGTAAGAGAGCTGGCAGATTGATTGGGCGTTGAAGTGTACGGGTTGATCCGCGCATGCCGCTTGTACCCCATTCTGCCAGAACTGATGGGACAGAGGAAAGGAAGTACTCGTAATGGTTGTATGCTTTCAGAGAAGATGACTCGTTAAAAGTCATCGACGTCCATGGTCGTGATGCTAGAAGACTAGTACGATTCTCCAAGTCAGGCAGCTGGGATGGGTCACGAGGTTTACACTCTCGTTCCAAAAGCAAGATCTGTAAGGGCATATCAAATGCCCAGTGGTGTCCATCATTGATTGGAGTGGCTAGAGTGTTGCCAATGAAGACTGGCGGCCCTATTACTAGAACACGGCGAGGATCTAGATAGCGGAGGACTCGGCGCCACCAGAATGGGTCGACCCGATTATCTGGGGTCTCCTCTGCGATCGCGACGAGAGATGTTACATGTTGACAGAGATCCGACTTGATCATAAAAGAGTGGAAGTCGGGTTCATCATCGAGGTTGAGTTGAACATAGGTGAATAGTTGAGGTCGCGCAAGTTGAAATAGGCGCCGTGAGCATAATTCGAGATGCTTGAGGTCTTTTGTTGGAGATTGGGTGAGTTTCAGACTAGGCGTATGATGTAGTTGTCCAAATGACGGTGGCTCCGTGGATAAGTAAGAGATAATCTGGTCTAGGAGCTCATTGGGGAGGAGCTCCAAAGGAGATAGCACAGACATGATAAATTGCTCATGTCTAGGGCCTTTCCCATTAGTAAGATTGGATATCCACCTCGGAGTGTCCAATGCAGTAAACCTAGAGTGCAGTAGTTGTCGGCTGAGAGAATGAAAGTGAAGTGCCGGGGTTCCCCACTCCAATCGATGGGCTGGCTCCAAGGCTCCACTGAACCTTTGTAATCGGTGACTCAGCGGTCTTTCCAAGGTGTTTTTCAATGTATTGTAGTGTGTGAAGTATGTTGAAAGAGAAGTAAGAAAAAGGATTGGAGGGATAGGACAAATAGATGTACAGTAGCAAGGGACTACAGAAAATGTTTGAATGTATAGAAAAAGTCATGTGGTCCGTGCACCCTACTATCCTTAAGACATCCGACCTCGGGAGATATCAGGGATATTGGAAATACTCCAGGTCTGTTTCCCCCGGTCATATTATCATATTATCATGTACTAACTTGTATCCATATAGGATCTCCAGGATACTCTCTTTATATGAATTGCTTCTCGAAATGACCTCTATCTAAAACAAGATCAAGAAACTACAAAAAATAACACTCACAGGCCAAATCGGCCCATGTGGAGAGCCTCAGTGTTTTGTGGGGCAATGCCTCTCATGGCGGGATACGCTATAGAGCTCGGATGAGATCGCAATAGGAATGAATGCCAATGCCCCTCTTTTGATTTATTCGTTTCCTCACCTTCCCATCTTTCTTCTTCAGACATTTGCCTTGGTAGATTTCTAAGGTAAGATACTTCGCATCTTCATAGAAACAACGCTCACTGTGTCTCGCAGTCAATCTACATACTCCATTCATAATGGCTCCTCAACTTCACCAGCGTCCTCCTTTCCGCGCAGAGCACTTGGGCTCTCTCTTGCGTCCTAACCAGCTTTTGGACACCAAGCTCGCTTTCGAGGCTGGCAAGATCCCCGAGTCGGAACTGACCACTTGCGAGGATAAGGAGATCAAGGCTATCGTTGAGGCCCAGCAGAAGCTTGGCTATGCCGCTATGTCTGACGGCGAGTACCGTCGTCACAGTAAGAAATCCGGAAAGTCATTGAGGGGGTCGCGTTGACAGATATAGTGTTCTGGGGTACTTTCTTCCCCGGTTTGGACGGCTTCGAGGAGGTCAACGATGTCGATGTCGATGACTTCCGTCCCTATGCCCCCGATATCGCCGCATTCTTGGAGGCTGGCCACAAGCCCGGTGAGAGCATCATCTGTACCGGCAAGATCAAGCACGTTGGCAGCACCTACATCGACCAGTTCAAGTACCTCGCCAGCCAGGTCCCTGCCAACGAGGTCGGAAACCTGAAGATCACTCTTGCCGCACCTAACTGGTACCACCTGCGCTACCGTGAGGGCAAGGCTTACCCCAAGTCTGTATACACCAATGACGAGGATTACTTCGGTGATATCGCCAAGGCCTACCAGGCCGAGCTTCAGATCCTGTATGACGCCGGCTGCCGTAACGTCCAATTCGACGACCCCAACCTGGCTTGTAAGTTCTTACCCATCCAGCCAATATCAATTGACTAAACTAACCGCTCAGACTTCTGCTCTGAGAAGTTCCTCACTGGCTTCAAGGAGGACCCTCTTAACGTGTACTCCGCCGATACCATGTTCGAGAAGTACATCAAGCAGTACAACGACTGCTTCGCGAGCCTGCCTGCCGATATGCACGTCGGTGTTCACCTCTGCCGCGGTAACTTCGTCGGCAGCCGTCACTTCTCCGAGGGCGGTTACGACCGTATCGCCATCAAGCTCTTCCAGGAGCTGAACGTCCACACTTACTACCTCGAATACGATACCCCCCGCGCCGGTGGTTTCGAGCCCCTCAAGTTCCTGCCCACCCACAAGAACGTCATTCTGGGTGTTGTCACTAGCAAGTTTGCCAAGCTTGAGGATAAGGAGGAGATGAAGAAGCGCGTCATTGATGCTGCCAAGTTCATCGCCGAGGGTAACAACATCTCCCTCGAGGCTGCGCTTAACCAGGTCGGTGTTAGTCCGCAGTGTGGCTTTGCTTCTCACCGTGAGGGTAATGCTATCGACTGGGATGGCATGATCAACAAACTGCAGCTGGTCCGTGATATTGCCAACGATATCTGGCCCAACCAGGCTTAAACTTGATGTTTAAGCTTTTAAAATTCTGATCAATAATGCCATTCTCCTGGTTACTTTTCAACAGATGTGACAGGAACTTTTCAACAAATGTGACACGGCTTGGGGTTTGGGTTTTGCGCGGCGCTTTTTTTTACAAGATACCTTGGACAAAGATTATGATATTTGAATGAGCACTTGATGTCTTGATCCTTGAATATACTCAACGAGCTTCTTTTTAGTCCAATTTATTTTTTTCCCTCTCATTGTAATGCAAAAATCAATAACGGTCTCTGTCTGCTTACATGAAATGCGTGGCCCAGCGTTGGCTTTTGGCTACCTCCGATATCAAACGGCCTCCATCAAAGACCTTACCACTTCAAGCTTTTGAGGCATAACATTCTTCTCTTTAACCAACTTCTCAATAACACGCACAGTCCACCCCTGACAATTCTCCGCAACAGCCTTCCGATTCTCCGCATGCGGAGGGAGCTCCGACTTTGCAGCCTCTTTCACCAGCCTCGCTGCCCTGGCCTGTTCTTGAGACACAACAGCCAGGGTATAGACGTTTGAACAGAGACCTGCGTCAAGGAGATTAAGCTTTTCAGTCGACGGCTCGTATTTCATAACCTCTGCATCTCCGCTGACTTGATAAACATAGCCGTAGTCAGGCTCGTTTTCGTCGGCGAGGAAGAGTGCCCAATGGGTTGGTTCTCCGGGGAGTTGTTTTTCTTGGACGAGGTAGAGATAAAGATGGGGGGTTTCGACGGGTGGTTTCAACTCCTCTGGATTAGATTTGTCCTCGGTCCACTCCTGTGCACCTCTCTTCCTGAAGAATGTACGGCCATTGACCTCGCACACTTCTCTGAAACCCCTTGTCTTGATGGAAGTCCCTGGCGGTGGAAAGTCGCTCATCGTCTGGGAGAATCAGACATCAGTATACTGTTTCTCTATGAGTGTGAACAGTCTTACTGATACCTGCCGTGAAACCTGCTGTGGAGTCAATTTAGCTCAGATTTTGAGCGAGCTTTGGTTTCGTTTGAAGAGGGTGGTAGACATAGCCAGATGACGAAACCAATCAAACGTATCAAATATTCAGGGACCTCTCTTTGGGGCTCTTTATCACATTTATACGTCATTCAGGCACTATTAAAGAATACATACCAAAATGATAGAGTCTCTAATTGCTTGTTCGCAATAAGACAGAAATCGAAAAAGTCTCAATATAAAAAATGTTCTCGTTGGCGTTTCAAATCATCCTACTCTCTCTCTTATACAGCCCAGAACATCGATATGTTAGCAATAGGTTATTCTAGTGCCTTATACTTCTCCAAGCACCTAGATATTCTGACTACTGGAAGCCTCTAGACAAAGCAATTCAGCTCAATTTAGTATGCTAAGTCATATACATCATCTACCAGAGTGAAAAAGACAATGGGTTACTCCGCCGGTCCCTCGATGTTGCCCTGCTTGATAGAGGAGCTCTTGTGGGTGTGCATGTTCTCGATCATATATCGCGGCTCATCATCTGATGCGCTACGCCCTCCTAAGGTTTCACGAATGACTCCGACGCTTTTGTTTGTCTTGGATTGCGCGCCTGTCATATTTTGTTAGAGGGTGGTTCATTTGGACATGTATGTGTATCTTATAGAAAAGGGTGCAACACACCGCCCACCGGCTTGTAATTAACCTTGTCCCCTTCCTTGGACTGAGCCTGAGGCATTGCCGTTGTTGGAACAAATTAAGATAGTGGTAGTGCCGTGGCAGGTGTGGGAGTCGTGCAGTTGAATTTGAGGGACTGAAAATGTCCCGGTTTGTATAGATGTGTGTAGACGAGCAGAGTAGGGCAGATTTCGGTCTTTGTAGATAGAAAAATGTCTTCCAAAAAGTATCAGTCTTGCAAGATTCAACTCTGAATTACCATTCTATTTATATTTGCCCACGAGGGAACGACTTCCGCTATCGTCATATTGAGGTAGCAGAAGAAACAAGCTGACTGGGTTGGAACTGATCCATGGCTATACGAACATATGGATCTAACGCGGAGGGTGGCTCCGTGGAACCGAGATGCAAATTTGATCATGCGCTTCAATCAGAAGTATGTCATTTGTTTCTATATTCTATAACCAATGCCAGGACTTGTCTGCCCTGTCTCTGCTGTAGTCAATTATGTGTATAAGGAAGCGCATCCACAATTGACCAAGGGTATACAAACGATAACGCTGGAGCACAATGAAATTAAAGTATTAAATTGGACCCAACAAGCCCATATAAGAACAGAGGGGATATCATAGAAGTGAAAATAAACGTAAAAAGCAACGAGATAACTAAGGCCAACAAAAGAAAAAGACCAAGGAAACAAAAGCCCAAAATGCTGCGTCGTCTTGTCATCAAAACACGGACATGAGGAGAAAAGAGAAAACACTTGTCGGATAATGCGAGTTGTTGTACAACGAAGCTGCTCTAGGAGCGCCTCTCGGAATCACAGTGGTGCATCTTATTTCTGGGGCTGGGTCTTGACATTGTTTGAGAGCCAGGCCTAGCAAGAGATAGCACGGTTAGATTGAGATTGCCAAGTAGATAGATCAGGCGCGCGACTTACAAGACCCTCGAAAATACCTGTTCCATCTGTTGCAACACTAGGTGCAACGTACCACAGCTTGTCTTTGAGCTTAGTCAATTGAAGCTGCTGAGTAACTTCCTCCGGTGTCAAGTCTAGAAGTGGGTCAGCGGACAGATCATCGAATTCCAGGAACGGGAGATACACACGGCCAGGAATATCTTGCTTGTTAGCGAACACCAAAAGCAGAGCATCCTTCATTTCACGATCATTGATGATCTTGTGCAGTTCCGAGCGAGCCTCCTCCACACGCGCTGTGTCGCTGGAGTCAACCACGAAGATCAATCCTTGTGTACCGGAGTAATAGTGTCTCCAAAGCGGTCGGATCTTGTCCTGACCACCGACATCCCAGACGTTGAACTTGACATTCTTGTAGGTCACACTCTCGACGTTGAATCCGACAGTGGGAATGGTAGTCACGTCCTGGTTACTGAGTTTAAGTTTGTAGAGAATTGCTAAAAGGAGTTAGCCAATGTTGACCGAAGTGTTTAGCAAGGTTCAAGAAACATACTTGTCTTTCCAGCAGCATCCAAACCCAACATGAGGATGCGCATTTCCTTGGTCCCGAATATCTTCCCCATCATTTTAGATACTTGTCCGCCCATTTTTGCGGGATTTGACGCGGTGTCGGACGTGCTCAGGAGCTGTTTGGCGGAATATCAACAATTGCGACCCGCGTATGAATTGCGGGTTTGTGAGAGGGAATACAAGACACCAGACGTTTCCGTACAAAGTGACGCTCTCAATTCAGACAACTCCAAAGAATAGAGAAAAGAGAGAAGAAGGTGTGGTGTGTGTTGAGGATCTTCAATTCAATTTCCCTGAGGCGGGGGAACCTGGAAAAGGGGCTTGGGCTGAGCTTACTCATCATGGTCTCCACGAGGTACGGAGTACACGAGGCAGTTTCATCCTGATGGTTTCATATATTGAACTTGTTTTATTGCTCAATTTCATCTATCAAAACACTCCGATACCATTAAATTGGCATACAACTGTCCCCCGGGGCGACTGCTGAGGATTATCTAAGACGGAAAAATATCACTCCGGTGGTAACCATGAACCATCACGGGATATATATAGCCCTAGAGTGTAGCATGTCACTTCCCCTGTAAAGATACCCTCAATGACACTTACTTTCTGATGTCCAATTTAGTGTAATACTACCCGATTACGCAAAGCAACATCTTGAACAGGGATCAAATTGAGAAGGCCATTAAGAACAGATCAATTTTTAATTTGTCGATTTGTCGTTACGTCATGGCCAAATGACTTCACTCATGCGATACTACCTATATATCTATCTGATAGTTCCTTTTTCTGATTACTTGGACAAGCCTTGATTTTGCTTAAAATTCCTAATCATGCCCGGCGAAGGGCATAAGTTTGAACGCCATGCGTCAGTCACGCAGCAGCGTCGACTGTCGCTACAGTACGAGCGTAACTCTTGGTTAGGACCGCCGTCAGATGTATGAACATCTCCGAAGTGTCAGCACAAGCCACTTGATAATTCTAACAAGAATATTAGACTATCTATGCTGGTATCTCCGGCAATTTCCACAACAACCATATATCAAGCATCGCAATTGCAATCCGCGATACCACATATCTACTGGACTTCATCGAGAAGCAGTTCCCAAACGGTGGAGCAAACTCAGAGGAAGCCACTCAATTCATCCTTTCCGAGATGAAGAAATATTCCCAGAGCCACTTGGAGAAGTGTATTGGAATGTCAATGCCTGAAGATGTTGCATCCCACTGCCCTCGAGTATGCCCTCGCCTTTGGGCGGAGCTCGACATCGTTCCATTAGTCCTGTCAAATGTCTCACTGATAGACAGAATGAGTGTCGAACAGTTTGACGAGGATCAAAACCAGGGGCCCTCTGGGTGGGATGTAAAGACTGTCGATGAACAAGCTGAATCGATGGCACGAAAAGGTGTTAGGTTGGTTGGTCCCGTTCAATATCGTAAAACGACTCATTGACTCCGGGTACATACAGACTATTTGGACCGGACAATACGCCCCTGCTACAAGTGGGCTTCCTCGGGCTCGTCGAAGTGGACACAGCTTACCATGTCAGACTTGCGGACCTGAGTGATTTCCAGACAACAGTCTCGGATAGAACATGGTCCGCAATGCAACGCTACGCCGATGAGTTGAAAGAGCGCAAGGTAAAAGTGGCATTTTTTAGTTCCACGCCTCAGGGTGGTGGCGTGGCATTGATGCGGCATGCTCTCTTGCGATTTTCGCACTGTCTGGGCACTGACATCAAATGGTGCGTTCTGTGCCTGTATATATGTTATTACAAGAATAAAAACTAACACATTGCTCGCAGGTACGTACCGAAACCACGGCCAGGTGTCTTTAGGGTTACCAAAACAAACCACAATATCCTGCAAGGCGTCGCTCATAAAGGGGAGCGCCTATTGCCAGAGAACAAGAAACTCTTGGAGGAATGGATTGAGGAGAATGCTAGGCGATACTGGACCCGCATAGGTGGACCTTTGCTTCCACCATCAGAGGGCGGTGCAGATGTCATAATCATCGACGATCCCCAGATGCCAGGCCTCATTCCCATCGCAAAAGCACTAGCTCCAGATCGACCAGTCATCTTCCGAAGCCACATCCAAATCCGAAGTGATCTGGTTGCGATACCTGGCTCTCCACAGGCGGAGGCCTGGGAATTCCTCTGGAATAGTATTAAACACGCCGACGTTTTTATCAGTCACCCTGTGAGCGACTTCGTGCCACGAAACGTGCCCCCAGAGATGGTGGGCTATATGCCTGCATCAACTGACTGGTAAGGGCTGAGAAATCTGATAATCTGGTTTCGTCTTTCATCTCACTAACCGGGACATAGGCTGGATGGACTGAACAAGACTATGCGGGACTGGGATGTCGCCCACTATGGCCGTATCTTCAATTCAGCATGTCGCAACACGGATATGCCAACTATACAATGGCCCGAGGGTTAGTAGCCGAACTAGTAGCAGTGATGATGATCAGTTTTCTGAAAACTAACAAAACTAGATTCATATATCGTCCAGATCGCACGGTTCGACCCGTCAAAGGGCATCGCGGATGTGTTGGTTTCGTACGAGAAATTCTACAACAAGCTAGTATCCGGAAGCACTCAAATGATCCCTCCCAAACTACTGATTTGCGGACACGGATCGGTGGATGATCCCGACGGAGCGCTTATCTACGACGAGACGATCGAATATCTGGAGAAAAAAGTCCCAGACATCCGCCATCTGATCTGCGTGATGCGAGTGCGGCCCTGCGACCAAGTCCTGAACGCCATTCTCTCCAAGGCAACCATCGCACTGCAACTATCTAGATCCGAAGGGTTCGAAGTAAAAGTCTCCGAAGCAATCCACAAAGGCAAACCAGTGATCGCCACGCGTGCCGGCGGCATCCCGCTGCAAGTGACGGATGGGAAGAATGGGTTCCTGGTTAATGTTGGCGATACCGATGCTGTGGCACAGCACTTGTTCGATCTCTGGACCGATCAAGATCTGTACCAGCGCATGTCAGAGTACGGCATCAATAATGTTAGCGATGAAGTGAGTACCGTGGGAACTGCTCTCAATTGGCTCTATCTCTCTACCAAGATGTCACGTGGTGAGATTGTTAAGCCCCATGGACGCTGGATCGATGATATGGCGTTTGAGGAGATTGGTGTCCCTGAAAAAGCGGACGAGCTACGGCTCAAACGCGCAGTCAGGGTGGAGAATATGGGCTGATTGTACTTTTTTTTTTTTTTTTTTTACTATGCCTGCTTCGATCGCATATAGTAATATACATATCAATATCCGTACAAAATCAGACAATCTGCCATAGTAGATACTTAATAGGAATCCAATAACGTTAGAAGTAGCAGAGAGGGGGTATCACAAAACCAGAAAAACCAAAGACAAATCCACAAACCTCTCTTAAGGTCGTCCAACAACCCGATACCTCTCCCTAGCCATACCTCCCTCCGCCCCCTCAACACCATAACCTTCCCCAACCTCCCCGACAATCCTCGCCGGCCTCCCACCAACAATACACCAACTCGGCACAACCATACCAGGCGGAACAACCGCACCATCAAGCACATAAG